GGGGGGGTGGCGCATAGACGGACACGAATACCGTATTTGACATAAGATAACACACCCCCTGGACCGATTTTCAAAGCTCGATTTCACCACGACGAAGAAGATGCGTAAACGAAACGATACATTTTCGAAAAGCTCTCGATGAGACGGTTTCAACGCCGCCGTTTTCGGCGCTGTGACTGTTCCTGCAGTTGAGAAATCGAGCTCCGAAAATTGGTCAAGGGGGTGTGTTATCTTGTGTCATATACGGTAATCAGGCATTACCCGTCCGTTCAGCGGCAAGACAACGATCATTCAAGTAGGGGCTGGGGACAGGGGGGAGGCGACGAGGCGACCGAAAAAAGGTTGAGCGAGCCAAGCCGCTAGATGCTAGATACTTAAGAAACGGAGGGTTGCCGTTAGCCCATGAATGTTAGCATAGTTCATATGCATAGGATGGCACACAACTAACAAACGGCTTCACACGCCCTCCTGGTACCCCAATCATATCAGAAAATGACTCAATAATGTGATCAAACAATTTTTATTTTTTGTTTGGCGTTGTCCTAAGAAGCCCGCTTGTGTGTGGGCGAGGGTTGGGTCAAACCCTCCCCAACCTTGTTTTGCCAAAAAAACTATAATCCAACACCTAGTAAACAAGCTGGGTGCTCCACAACGTGGTGAAGGCTACCGCTCACGGCCGTAGCCTCCGAGAACGGCAGCCGTTTGTTTGTTTCCTGTCTACAAGGAGAGCGAAATGGCTCATCACTCATCAACCTGTCCAGCCATGGAGCAGATGCAGCGGTGCAGCGGCGGAGAATGTTGTTCCACGTGTCAGCATGCACCAGTCTGATCCCCTGCGCTAGACCCGACTGACCAATGAAAATTCATCCGCCGTATCCATAAAGCGAAATTAAATCCCGACCTAGCTTTGTACGAATCCATCGGATAGGGGGGGGGTACGAAGGAGGTTGGAAGACACCAGAGTCCGGCTTCCCGGTTCGGAGGTCAAGGAAGACTCCACAGCACCAAGCAGTACTTCATGCTCTGTGTTGTATCCGCATCTTCCTGTGCTAGTACCCGCTGCCGTGCAGTGTTTTCATCCGCAGCTGGTAGAGGCAGAACTTTGTTAGGGTCCTAAGCTGAACTCCGGGACGGTCCGTTCCTTTTGGGCGTGAAATACTGACGCGTTGTTTATGTAGGAAGCCCTATTATAGCCTATCGCTCGGGGCGAAGATGATTTTTTAACGTGTCATGCACGGGGTTCACGCCCATCCACCGCCGGTAAGTAGTGGTGGAGAATGTACAGCAGTAGTCCTTTTCTCACAACTGCTGTGCATATGCCGACGCACAAAGAGGAGTACCAATGGGTTTGTCAGGAACCCTTTGGCGGCACCCGATGCTGAGTTGCTTTTGATCCCTGTTGACTCTAGCAGCGGGTTCATGCTTGCCGTTGAGGGCCGTGATTTCTTCAAGCGGACATACGCGCGGCACATTCTCCACGTGAACATGTGTTGTTGTTTGGTTAGGGTGAAATCCGATCAGCTCACACGAAAATTCGTTGCACATTGATACATGCAGTCGGTGGGGGCCCCGGTTCCGCGACCCCCTGTTTCGGAAGTTCGTCGCATAATTGTTACTTCGTGGTTCAGTTGAGCGAGCTGCCCTGAATAGCGGCCACATTTCGTCGTGGCACTAGGTGTCGCTAAACCGGGGCCTCCGCCAAACGTGCTTCATGGTGCAACGCCTGTTTGCTACAGCGACCAATAGGAAGTACCTACACTGGCTTCTCTCTCTCTATATATATATATATCGATCGATTACATGTTGTGCTGTCTTGTGTTTCCGACCGTTCGTGTTGTTGTTCCAGGCGTGCTGCTTGATCTGCGTGAAGGATGACCCCGTGCCGGGCTCGAAGCTGGACGCCTTCTACGGAAACCCCAACCAGTTCCAGATCGGAATGATGGAGGCACCGTGCAAGAACTGCCCCTGTGAGTTAAAGTTGAGGGGGTTATTTTCTTCCTCAAGGAACGTCTGACGCTCAACCAAAAATCTCCACCGGAAAGCAGTAGATCATCCCAGGTACCATGATGATGGATGGAGTCGAGTCTGCTCCTGCAAAGGTTGCTTTCCACGCGGATCTTGTTGGTGCACGTCGCATAGAGATGATGGTACATGATATGATTACTGCTTTCCGATAGAGATTTTTTGGTTGAGCGTCAGACGTTCATTCGGGAAGAATGTTGTAGGCTTAACAAACTTGTCTCTGGTGTAGCTTGGCGGGTAGAGGTCTGGCAGCGTGCTTGATTGTGGTGAGCACTTGGATACTGCAGGACGACGTCTTCACCGCAACTTGGCTGTCTTTGGTGCCGCGCTCGCGCTAACTTCGTGGATCAAAAGAGAGTCCCCCCACCCCCCATATTCGTGTGCCGCGTAACCCGCCTCCCTCTTCTACCAGTAGGGTTCGCGAGGATATTGTAAGCTTGGTTCTTTGTAGGGGTACTAATAATGTTCGAGGGATAAGGGTACGTACGAACCCCCCCTCTGTCATGTTGCAAGTACAGCTGTCATATTGCAAGTACAGATCAAGAATGATCTTTTCGCAAGGCGGTTCTCTTCCGAGAATATGCTGTGTTCCACGTCCTTGGCTTTCCGCCCGCGCTGCGAATTGCCATAGCTAAGTTGTCGTCGATTAGTGTGTGCGTCGTCGAACAAAGCCTGTGAACATGTTGCATGATGTGTATCACCCCACTCCACCCCACCCCCCTCACTCTCTCCTTGCCTCCGTGTGTTTTTTTTTTTGCGCTTGGTGTCGCCCTACGTATGTCGCGTGCTCTTGTGTGTGTGTGTGTGTGTTTCGTGCCGGACAGGGTTTTGTTTCGGGTGCCTGTGCACGTGCTGCGCGCAGTTCATCGTCAGGAAGAGGGCCCTCGACGGAAACCTCGAGAACTACTTATGCTGTCAGGGCTACTATCCAAGTGAGTCGACAAAAGAAGAGACCGGTCCAAGTGCTCGAGAGCGTCTCTCCGTATTTGCTGATTGAAAAAAATAAGAAAATGTGTCGTGTCTTGATTCAACCTAAAGGTACATTTGTCCGGGAGTTATCGATTGCCATTTTTTTTTGGCGTTGTTTCCCGCGCCGTTTTTGTGCTGTTCGAACGTACATACTTGGAGGTAGTTTTTTTGCTGTTTTCTTGTGTGGACGGATGTTTTTTCATGAATGAACAAAGCCACGTTCTCCAGGAGAACCGGAACACCACCTAAAATGGGCGTTGCTGACCTTTCTCCCATCCCGTTGCGCATATACACCGCAAAGAACGAGGGTACGCAGCTGGCACGTCCGCTCCTTGACCCCATGTCGAACGCTTCATTTTTTTCTCCTGGCCCAGGCTGACATGCTTGCTCTCAGAGCTCTTTGCTCCTTGTTATTGGCTGTTTGCTGGCGCTTGCTATGGTCGTCGGGTCTTGAAGCTATTACTTGTCGCCACTGGTCTGTTTTCAACATGTGGTCTGCGTTGCCTTTGCCGCCCTTTGTTATACACTGCTTTTCTAAACAGCTTTTGTCGGGTCTCTCGATGATGACTTCTGTCGCCGTTGCTTTTATAAAACAGTGTGCTGCATGAGCGCGGGCGACTGCGGAGAAAGAAGCTGCCCGTGTTTCTGTCTTTGTTTGGAGTCGTTCTGTTGCAATAGCTGTGCTGTCAGCTCCAGCAGGTGAGCGCACCCTAAATAGCATGTGTCTTGCACGGGGGAAGAAGTTCAAGTTCGCGGATTGGTGTGAATCCAACGGCCCACATCAGATGGATACCGATGCCCACGATCTGTGGGGGTAATCAGTTCATAGAGTACCTCCATCCCAGACGTTTTTTCCCCCAGGGATATGCGTCGCCCGTGCGCGCGTCGTACCACTCACATTAATCTCCCCCAAAAGTACAACCGGATGTTGCAGACTTGAAGAAATGCTTAGCAGCACAGCAGTCAATGCACCATAAGCAGGTTCTCCTGCCCCCGCACGACATCGCTACGGCTAGGGTGTGCGATCGATTGCACTCAGGCGTGCTGGGACGTGTGTGTGCGTGCACACAGCCTCGGCTGAGGCAGTCGGGGCTTCGCCGCAGCTGTCTGCGAGCCTCGAGCGGGGCCATGCCTGTCGAGGCATGTACAAATTTTTGTTCACTGAGATGAGTTCACCCGCTCGAAACCTGTCCCTGTTGTCTAATCTTTCATGTGCCCGCGCTTCGCTTGTATTCATATGTGAATGGTCGCTTGCGCAGGATGTACCTAATGGACAAGTTCTCAGTAATGCCGGACCCGTGGGATAACAGAATCATCGTGAGTCCGCGGAACCCCCCGCGCGTCGGCAGAACTGGTTGCTGTCTTTAACGTAATGGCGGAGGAGACGTATCCTTCTGTTGTGTTGGCCCCGTCCCAGAGCTGGCACAGTTCCGTAGCGAGGGAAAGATATGAAATTTATGATATAGTCTACGCGGCGGGTTGTTGATATTGATACATATCTTTGGAGGGTTTAGAGGCCAAATGATGGGGCAACAACTGTACTTGTCTAAGTAGCCTCTTTGTATTTCTTTGTTCTATCGGCGCACATAGAGTGATAAGTCAACGCACCGCTCTGCTGCGTGCTGGGGCAATCTAGCGAGAGATCAAAACCGTGCACCGCACCTCCTTCCTGTTCATCAACATTCACACCTTGCACCTATTGTCGACGCTCTGTGGAACTCGGTACACAACAGACAGTCCCCCGTAACAACGGGGTGCGAAACTTGAGTCCCCCCCTTCCGCCCATGCGGTCCTCGACTCTCTCTACTGTAGGCTTTATCAACCCGGAATCTGACGACTCAATGGGGGCACCCCTGAGAAAGACACCCCCAAACCCGTACTAGAGAATACTGAAGAAAAATGGCCGTGATCCCTTGCTTCTCCGGCCGTGCGTGCTTTAATTGTTTTGTTGCCGGATGGTGGCGACTTCTTCGAGTCCAATTTCCTGGGTTCTCCGCTGGAGGGACGAGTCGCCCTTTTCTTTGAGCGTTAGCCAATGTTGCAATATCTCCCAAGTTCCCTGCCTGCTCTCTTGCCCCCAAGTGCACTTGTACCGCTCACACCCACTGGTGAAATAGATGCTCCCCCGTTTGTTGAAGACTCCCTTGCCCATGATATCTATGTCGTTGGACGTTTGTTGTTTGTTTTTCAGCGCTTCAACAATTTCCTGCAGCTTCTGTCATGCATCTGCAACATCGCCGCCATCTGCATCGAGGAGATCCGCGAGCTGGCTAGGATCATCGACCTCATCGCCGACATCGTATACATGACAACCGTCGGCTGCATGACGGTAAGGGATATACATTGAAAGGAGGGGCAGCGGAGCGAAGACGATAATGAAATACCGCCGCGCTGCGTTTTGTACCGCGCGATATCTGACGTTTTGTCTCACTCAAGGTTACGTTGCAAAACACCACAACGCGTGCTTGTACAAACTATGATTGGTACTTCCAACCATGAAGTCTCAGGGCCCAAGCAGCATCGCAAAGCCCCCCTGCTCTCCGAAAGCGGTACATCGCCCTTCAGTTCAATCGAATCAATCGCCTGACACACGATGGCACGTCGCGGCCGGTACCTTGCAAGTCGCGGTCAGCGAGAAACTCGTGTTGCTTTCCATCTCAGCTGTTGACAAGTGCGCAGATCTGAGGTCGGAAATTTGCGGCAAACTATGCGATTGCTGAACTCCGTTGTTGACGGATAGGACACCCACTATCCAGGCACAGAGCCAGGGGAGGCGGTGCTACCTAACCTTTTGAATCCAGGCGCTTGTTCCATGTAAATGTTGAGAATGCAGAGGCCCCCCGGATGGGGCAGCAGGTGATCATCTCCTCCGAGATGTTACAGATCCCCGGCACAGCAGTGTCCTCAAGTCTTGCCCCTGCCCCCGTTTCGTGACATGAAATTGCTTGTGTGCGACAGGGCCAAATGATATACGAGATGGAGTACCAAGCTTCGGTTGCCCCCAAGGCCGAGGCTATCACTGGCCGGTAAACTTGGTATGGTAACTAGCCTTCGTGCAATCAACAGGACTGTTGCTGCCATACATGGCGGCGTCTTGAGGGCGATTGACTCCCAGGCCGACCGCTGTTTGTGTGGCACGCTCGCTGGAGGCACTTGTTGAGCCTCGCTGGTTGTGGGACGGGGAGAGCGGAGCCTCGTGTGGCGCCGCTGACGTTGCAACGAGCGTCCGGCAAGCCCGCTTGTTTGGTCGACAGCAGGAACACAACAGTCTCCCTGCTGCTGCTGCTGCTGCTGCTGCTGCTGCCAGCTTTTTTTTTTTGCCGTAAGAACGCATGAGGCGGAATCGTTATTGTTCCGTCGACTTTGGGAGGTAGCTAAGGATCCCGCCTGTCCTGCCTTGATTGTTGCAGGGGGCGGTGCTGAGAATGCAAGCGACGAAAGCTGGGCGGGGGGGGGAATAGCGCAGTTTTCCTGTGTAGCCAAGAAGGCAGGCGGTGCCTTCAGTACGTGGGAGCGTGGTAGGTTTCCCAGAAGATCAAATGCGCCCAGTGGTTCATTTCCACACACCCCGGAATTTTGGCGGCAGCTCGGTCCGGGTTCGCTGCCGGGAGGGGGCTATTTTGGTGAAGGCACGCCGCCAAAGCTGCATGTCGAACCCTTGCAATGAAAGGGGGGATTACTGTAGTATTCCAATTGCGAGCAGTCGGTCCAGATATCGGTCACGACAATCGAATGTGTGTATGGAGGAAGTATGGGGGTAAAACTGGGGCAACGACGGTGAGGCATGGGTGCATTCCGGCGCCGAGTCAGAGAGGCCCATCGTGTATCTTCCGACGTTCGCTCGGACGAATGTCAGACAAGGTTCCTTGCTCAACACTATGTTCATTTTTTTTTTTGTTCTCTTGCTGTTGTTCAAGGGGGGGGTAAGCACTTCTCGGAGATGAGCGAGTGATCGTGTGGTTAGGTCACCGGTGTACTGCATGCTGGTGCGCCATGTACTCGTCTTAAACGTCTTCAAGGGTTTCCGTATGTTTTAAGGGGTTTGTCGGCGTTGAAAGGGGCCTCGCGATTCTCCCGCGTTGGCGGGAGTAGGCACCCGAAAGAACGATCGGAAGAATCTGGATGCACTAAACATTTCCCTCCTTGGGATACTTTTTTTTTCGTTTCTCATGTGCACCGCGTAACCGGTGCATCCGCTGGGAGTTTGTGTCACGTGAGCTGGGGAGGTTCCCACGCCACTGCCGCAATCGTAGTCTTCTTAGAGACGGCGTGTAAAGCTAGGGGGCAGGTTGTTTTGTCGCCTTTCGTGCACGCACCACTACCATCGTAGTGTATGTTGCGTCCTTGAAGTAGTCACCGTATATGTTGATGTAGAAAAAAAAAACGTTTTTTTGTTTCCGTAGGGTTGATTGATTGACTTCTGTTTTTTTTTGTTTGCCGAGGTTGTCTTTGAACATCGCGTACTGATAACGTCGGAGGGGGGGTCGACGGGTAAATAAATCAGGCTTGTTGGTGGACTGGTCTTGTTCCTTTCCTCAGCTAAAATTAAGGGAGCGCGCGCGGACAACTCCCGGGGTTGTCTCTTGTTCAACATGGACCGGTACCCCTTAGTACGCCTTAATGGATTTGAGTTTCCGAACTCGAGGTTTTCGTTGTTGAATTTTTTCCTGTACTTGCCTGTTTCTTGGAACAGAATGGGAAAAAGCTACACGTAGCAATAATATAAATACGCCAATGAAGTGCCGCTGGTTGCGGTTCGACCGCGGCCGTCGACCGCCTGTCGTCCATCGGGACGTGTGTCCCTCCCATTTCTCTGTGGTCGCGACAGAAGAAGTGGGGTACAGTATATTCTCACCAGGCGATGGCCGTGCTGGAGACCTTCGGGTTGGGCGTGGGTGGGAGGCTTTGCAGTCTTGCCCCCCCACTTGAAAGAGCGCGGTCGTGGAATAAAGCGTTCCGCCCGGGCGGACACGGCGATGGCGCAGCTGGTGTTTTTGGTTAGACATGGCTTTTTAAGTCAAACCCCCAGTTATAGCTTTTGGGCAAATCCCCCACTTATGATTGGCTGGCCGGGGGCGCGGGGGGGGGGGGCACCACATTCGCGGGAAGGGAAGGGACGATTTGTGCAGTTGTGCGTACCCTGCACAGGGTAGCCAGCCACCACCAGCAGAAGCCGTGCTAGCGCTCTTGTCGGAACATGGCACCGCATTCTTTCACTCGGGCGACTTAGGGTTCTCGCGCCCTGGACAACATGGTGGACGCCAGGCTCGCTTACACAATGATTTCATTCTGGTTTGAAGTATCGGCTTGAAATAATGCCTGTTGGGAACTGGAGCTTTCGCTGCAAGGGGGCGCCGCAGCTGTGCTGGCTGCCTGGCGCGGGGGCAACGGGCGCGAGGTCATGGATTTCGTTTCGCTAGCTGCGATAGATAGCATTTAACATGCCGTTTCACCGAGGCGCGAGAACAAACGGCAACCTCTGCGCCCCCTCGATCGTAGCACCGCAAAGAAGGTGGGCAGGTTTGGCTTCAGGACAGACGAAAACATGCTTGTCGAACACTGTTGCAAGGCCGATTGCGTTGCGAGTTCTCCATGGACCGCCAAGGACCATCAGTGGACCAGGCCTATTTTCGTTATCGACCACAGGCTGCGCTATCGATGACTCGACCATCACGGGAAAAGCAACTCGTCCGCGATGCCAGCAAATCCGTCGGCAAAGCCCTCTCCACTTTGCCTGTGCTGTCCCGTATCGATATCGAACTAACCGTAGTTTACAAACAAGTCGAGACTCCGCTTTTCTTCTCCACCATCAAAATTTGGATCAGTTATTTCCCTTTCCGTGTACAATTGTACGATCCCCCCGCGACCGCGAAAGAAACCAATTCGTGCAGCGAGCTGTTGCAATAGTGAGCCATCGCCAGCCTACCGCACCCCACTACGCTACTGTCGGCCTCTCCACACCTCTTGCGACAGCACCCCAAAGCCTTTCACCTTCGCCTTCACACGCTACACACACAATAGCCCGTTGGTACTACAGTAGGTGTACTCGGCGTGGGAGCGATGAAGAAGCAGAAGCCGTATGGGGGGGGCGCCCGTCTCCAAACACCGACGACGCCATCAACTTAGTTTATTACGAACGGGGAGGGGGTACGCAGTCCCTGCCCCTGACCCAACTCCCCCGATTGCATCCTTTATCCGACATGTTATGCTTAACAGAAAAATCCTACTGAGGGCCCAACAGCCGTCCGGCGTCTCGGTGTCGCACTACTGCAACACTATTGTTGCAGGAATATTGTAAAAACAGAGGCAGCACCACACGCTACGTCTAATCTTCTTCACGTCCGACGATGGCCTCCGCCAGAGGGGCATTGTCTCCTTGGTACTTCATCTCCGTGATCATTTGTCCCTTGTTTGTCGGACAGGAGAGGAGAGGGGGGTGGGTGGGGGGGGCGTGTTCGGCGGTGAGCACAGGATTTTGGAGGGGTGCACTCACGCTAACCAGTCTTGCACGCAGGGAGAAGGGCAATCGAGGGACAGGTAGGCGTGGATCATGGTCAACCACACCTAGTGAGGTGCCAAAATACGAGGTGCCCTTAGTTCCACGCGATGAACGCGCGAACCGCGGAAGATGAAGGCAGGCGGAAAGTCGTCAACTTGACGCCTGTTCTACCAGAATTGCTGGAGGAGAGATAAACTTGAGTAGAACATCGGAATCAGAAAGAATACTAGCACAAAAGATGCATTTTCGGCAAGCGATGGATGTAGTTGTCCTGATTCCACACCGTCTGTCCATGCGGTACGGACAGAGCATGGATAATGAGCTGGCGGGTCGGCTAAATAGTCACGGCCTCCACTTCTTCTCTCATGCATGTGCCTTCCATTTCTTGTTCTCGTTCTCACCGTCATGCAGCCAACGGTGGTCATGTACACCAGGTCGGCGATGAGGTCGATGATCCTAGCCAGCTCGCGGACCTCCCGGACGCAGATGGCCGCAATGTGGCAGATGCATGAAAGAACCTGCAGGGCATTGTTGAACCGCTGGAAGAAGAGTTCAACAGCGATCGGTGGAGGGCGTCGAGCGAGAAAGTGGAGTGAGGAGAAATGCTGATGCACGACGAGAGGAGAATTGGGGAACGTCTCAGCGAGTCTCCAAGACAGTAAGACCGGAGGAACAAGAAGTGAAACAAGCAGAAGGAAACAAGAGCCAAGGAAATTGTTAGCATCTCCGAACGTTCGAAAACATGTCTCGTTGCACACCTATCACCCCAAGCAGCGCAATGCACACGTCGTGTAAAACAGCGTATTTCACGGAGGGACCATCGTCTGCCCATCGGCCCCGTTGTGCTAACGGATGTAGTCGATAGCGTGCAGAATTCGAAGAAAAACGGAACGCAGGTTGAAAAAACGTGGTAGTAGCTCACACCCTCCCGTCGTGCGACAATCGGTGGCCAAGGTCGTGGGGGCTAAGGATACCTAGTCACATATTGAAACGCGTTCTACTACCGCTGTCCATGTCACCTGCAGCCTTTATTCACACCGTTGTGGACGGCTCCCGTTTTCATCACGAACGATTTTTTTAGGTGCTTTACTGAACCCCCTCCATGTGTGAACGTGCTTGTGCTTGTGAACTCGACGCTTCCAGCAAAAAGGAAGAGCGTGAGGAACAAAGCGACTGTGAACAGACATGTAGACGGACGCGCAACAGAAGGACGCGATCTACAAACTTCTGTGTTGTGGTTATTATGCTTGGTCTTGGCGGCGTTCGTGAGTAGATGGATCCATGCACACGCACGTGCACTCCAACCCTCACCTTGCGCACCCCGCAACCTCACCTCTTTGGTCCGTATATGCATACGGCACGTAGTAGCACAAGTGGTTGCGAAAACACACAGGTAGGTCAAGAAGGAGCATACGGCACATGGGCGAAAAGGCGGGAGGGCACAGCTGGCGAAAACAGCAAGCTCAGTGAAAAGAAAGTAACAGCACGTTTATTGCGCAGCAATGAACCAGAAGAAGGGTGCGATCTGGTTTGAGCAGCAATACCCGAAGATGCATGCATGGACGACAGGATACAACTCACGATGATTCGGTTGTCCCATGGGTCTGGTTGGACCCCGAACTTGTCCATGAGGTACATCCTGCGGAGGCGATCCCAAAAATCGGCAGGGGTCAAAGCGGAGAGGAGGTGAGGGCAAGCAAGCAACCGGTAGAAATTTTCCAACGGGAGCCAAAACAAATGATTGGCACAGCGGCGCCAAATCGGCGATCGTGGGCTACGCAAACCCCCGATTCCCAGATCAAGCAGTATCTCGACTTGCGCGTGAGTACTCGGATACTTCTAGCACTTGCTTTCGGGACGGGGGGGGGG